TATATTAAGCAATGGAAACATGTAAAGAGTGGACCGAAAGATCTTCCTAAAGATTATTATAAATGTTTTGATATGTATAACGCGCGCTCTGATTGGCTGACGACCGTGTTTATATTAGAGGACAGAGACACAGAGACAATTTGTGTGCTCAAAAAATACAGAAAAAATATATAAAAGAACAATAAAATGCCCTCTTGTGTCTCTATTGCTCTGTAGCTTGCATCTCTCGTGTTTTTCAACTCCCATTGTGTTTATATCAGAGGACCGTTACGCGCGCCGTTTCATTTTTCTTAATTTTTAAATTAAGTCAATAATTCTTCCAATCCATAATTCGTAATGAAGCACAATAGGTTCAGCTATACACATGTACCGCCCAACATGTTCGCGAGTGTGTTATTCAAAAATTTACGTAAATCTTTAGTTAATAGATGGATTGGAATAATTATTGACTATAATGCTTAATCAAAACGTTCTATTTTATAACTGTAAACCTTCGCTGAGGTTGCCTCGGGCGACTCGATTTTTGAGGAAATCCATCATATCTTAATCTCGTTACGTAAAACATTTGGTATATTATAAATCAATTTAAAGCTTAGGACAAGCTTTATTGATTCATTAGTTCAATCATGCAACAGGAATAATCATAAATGATAATGCAAGCCATATATTTACATTTTGATATGTGGAAGCGGCCATAATTTCCGCAATTGGCTGTATTATCTTTTAAGACGATGTATTGTGCGCCTTTTTCAATTGAAAGATTGCCGCGAACTTGACGCTAGACTTTTTAAAATCATGTGATGTTCTTCTCACTTACGTATTCCTTTAGTTGGCGATGTACAAAGAAGTATCGTGTTCAGCATAACACATAGCAGAAAACGCAAGAGTTCTTGTTTCAGTAGGGTGGGCATTTGATCAAAGCCTTTCCAAGGATTCGCTTTGAAAGTCCTGATCTCGAAGTTATCACTTASTACTATTTAGACGACTTTGAAAGTTTGTATGGAAGTGGCAGTCCTAAGGATTTTATGGCAAAGGCAACTGATTCGATCCGTTGAAAGTATTCGAATGTTAAAGCCTAGCTGAGTAAAATATGTTTCGCTTTGAACATATCGAAACACCTGACAAATGTATTGGAAGTCGTAGTGTCGTAGTGTCAAATCATTTCGATTCAACTTTCGCCTTGCAGAGACATTTCAGTCTTACGGACCCCAAGCTATTTCGGGACACCCCGTTATAAGTACACTTTTAAAGTGGACAGCTACATATATCCAATACAATTACATTTTGAACGACGAAGATGAAGTCTTTTTCTGAATGGAAGTAAATTGATCACAAATTGTTTATTTTTGCAATTCATACTATATCTTAATAATGAGGAAGCGCCTGCATATAATTGCTAGTTTCGCTAAATAGTATACTAACCTCTAACGTTTCGACCAAAAACGGCAAACGATTGAAAACAATGTTGGGTTTATAAAACCCTTAATAAATATTAAGAATCTGTTTACAAGTGGCAGAGTAACAAAGTTTAGAGTAACAAAAATTGCAWTATAGTCTAGATTAATTAAGTCAATAATGAATGCTGATGAAGTCAAAAGATTTTTCGTGAGGCTGACGGAATAATTATTGTCACGAAATAAAATATATCACCCAAACAGCGTGACAAAATATTGTCACAAGAATTTCGATAAATTGTTAGAAACATTGTTATAGTTCATATTATAGTGTTTTTAACGATAAAATATCCTTTATCTTTTTACTTTGGAAAACGTTTTGTTTCCACGCAACTAAGAAAGGAAAAAAAAGAAGAAAAAAAGTACGCCATTTTGAAAGGTAAAAGAGACTTTGCATCAAAGCAAGAAAGTAGATGGCGGATATTCTTCTCAAAATTGCTTGTTTTAAATTGTTTAACTTCAAAAACTCCTCAAATTTTAAAGTTTACCACAAAAATATCTTATGTATTTTATCTTGATTCTTGAACTTCCAATAAATGCTGTTCTCTAAAATATCGGGAAATGCTATAGATATAATAGTCGTTGTTTATCGTCGGTAAAACTGAAACCAACTGCTATGAGGCATACAATGACAAACTCGTCTTAACTATCCTTATTATTAATGCTGACGGAAACTTTTTTTTTTAGTTTTAATTGGGGAAGATCGATTGCGACCTATCTGAAAACGGCATTCCTGTACATATG